ACAACCGCTTTACAACTAACATGGTTAACAATGATAAAATAAAGTTCATGAAAATTACTCAGTTAAATAAAAACAAAAGTACATACTAATGACCAATCATATTAAGATAGGTCATGCAGTCCAGGGTAGGCGAAGATTGAAGTCTATTGATTTTTGTACACACAGTTTAGGCTGTATGTGATTAATCCAAAGTGCTTCCATCACCTTCAATAACCTTGAATTAGAGTTATGTGAAATAATTGTGAAACAGTCATTAATAATTGATTTTGTGACCAGACATTAATAAGTGTTTTGCAATGGATGATGCTGGATTTCTATTAAGATTAATCGCGTTAGGATTTTCGATATGATTTACTAGCCATTTTGGAACATGTTCTTTTCGACGACATTGGAACATTCTGTTAGTTCTACCTATATAGGTGTCACCGCAGCTGCAGGTGAACTTGTAGATACAGTTTGAAGTAGAGTCCACAGAATTTCGTCCTTTAATCGTAGGTACAGGGATCGAAAATGTTCGGCAAGTGAGAAAAAGAGATGCGGCGTAGAATGTGCGTTTGATGGCTGACCGAAGTCTTTGAGCTGTCAACTGCATAATCTGGTCGCCCTTGAATGGTAGATTAATAAAGATGGCTTTCTTTGGTACAGAAGCTGTCTTTTCAAGATGTGGTCTATCCTTACCGTGACAATTGATGAAGGTTTCTGGATAACCATTGGCTAGTAAAACTGAATGTACATGTCGAAGCTCATCCATCAATGTGTCACTCGTACATATTTTTCGAGCCCTTGAGAACAAACATTTCACCAGGGAACGTTTATACTGGATAGGAACAAAACTGGTAAAATGAAGATATTGTCCACTCCACGTCTGTTTACGAAAAATAGAGCGCTGAATCGTTCCATCATTTCTCCTAGTCATAGTAATATCCAGGAAACCGAGTTTGTTATTGGATTCTAGTTCGGAAGTCACTCGAATATTTGGATGGATATGATTAAATAGGGTGATAAAGTTTTCAATAGATTTGCTATTATTACTAATAATAAGAGTATCATCTACATAACGTTTGTACAGCATAAATTCTCCAAGCATACCTTGCATTTGTTTCTCTAATTTCGACATAAATATATCTGCTAACAGGGGCCCCAGAGGGCTACCCATTGCAACACCGTCGATTTGTTTGTATGCTTTTCCTTGGAATGTGAATCTAATATTTTCTGTACACATTAAGATGATGTCCTTGATGTACGTTACAGGAATAGGTAAGTTTATCCCGTTGCTTGTGATATAGTCGCAAATGAAATCAACAGTTTCATGAAGGGGAACATTGGTGAATAAAGATTCTATGTCAATTGAACACATAACCTTTTCCTTAATGTTCAAGGTGTCTAGCATTTCTGTAAGATCAAATGAACTTTTTATAGAATGATTTGATAATGAGTCTCTTACAGGCGTAAGGACCTCTGTAATCCATTTGGCGATTTTATGGTAAGGAGAATTTGACATATCTAAGATGGGTCTCAGTGGGTTCCCAGTTTTGTGGATCTTCGGAAGGCCATAAAGCTGAGGAGTATGTGACCCAATTGCTTTAAGTTGTTTATAAAGTTTTTCATTTATAAAACCATGCATCAGTAAAATTTGAAGCTGACGATTGATCTGCTTTTCCACAAGCAGCACATTATCAGTAGCGTTGTCACAAAATCAATATTAATGACTGTTTCACAATTATTTCACATAACTCTAATTCAAGGTTATTGAAGGTGATGGAAGCACTTTGGATTAATCACATACAGCCTAAACTGTGTATACAAAAATCAATAGACTTCAATCTTTGCCTACCCTGGACTGCATAACCTATCTTAATATGATTGGTCATTAGTATGTACTTTTGTTTTTATTTAACTGAGTAATTTTCATGAACTTTATTTTATCATTGTTAACCATGTTAGTTGTAAAGCGGTTGTAAAGAAACTACGAAATGATATCATCTCGCGAAATTTGTCTTCTTAATGCCTAATTCAAATGTTAATACTAAGTTATTGACACTATATCACTGGGTGTCATATTAAGTAAAACTATCTAATATTTATTTATATTCTAATACAGAACCTGAATTCCGCCTTTATATTAAAGGCTGACTTCCCTAGTCTTCGACTCACAGTCTTATCCACAAAACGAGAGAGTGACACAATTAACTGTCATGTCATGGTTGCCTGTGAAGTTCATGAGTATTAGATTTTCGAAATCACAGTTTCTAAGCTCTCCTAGGTAAACCCTGAATGCCCACTAGTTTGTTAATGAATCAAGTGAAGAGGGATAGTGTATTGGTAGTATGAATTGAAAGATCTTTCAAAAAATACTATGTAATCCCTAGCAAAATGCAATGATATAAAACTATACACAAAGTTCAACTGCATGAAACTATAGGAGTCAATAAATGCAAAAAAATTTAAAGAAAACGAGTAGTCGTTAGCAGGTCTGTATTCCACACTGCATATGGCAGAACTCATAATCTTCATCACAGATTTTGAAGCATGACATTGTACATACACCACTTTTGGAGACCTAACATCTATCACAAACTTTCACTGAGCTTGAAAACTTCCATTAATTAAAGAATGACCTTAGTCTAGAAACTTACTGCGAAAAAGCTACAGATTTTATGCACGAACACCATTTATTTAAGTGTTGGTTTGTAGGGATTCGGTTGATTGGTTACAGAATTTCATCATGAGCTGACATTAGTTAGAGAACCATTGGAAAACCACCTAGGAGTACTGCACAGCTGTTTCGTCAATCTAGTTTGGGACTCTTCAGCAGTACACACCCACCGCTAGGGTTAGAACCCATGACCTTCTGGTTACAAGGCGAACTCCTATACCATTAAGCCACTGGGACCCGATCCAGTGGCCACTGCAAGAATTCTAACTTCTGCTAATTAATGACACAGCGCGACCCCTAGCCATTGTCATGACCAGTAGGGTGCAGCAGGTCGGATGTGATGACAAATACTCGCCGAAGACATTGGCTTGGGGTCGCGATACGTCGTGAATTGGCAGAAGTTGGAATTCTTGCAGTGGCTACTGGATTGGGTCCCAGTGGCTTAATGGTCCACGAGCTCGCCTTTTAACCTGAAGGTCATGGGTTCTAACCCCAGCGGTGGGTGTGTACTGCTGAAGAGTCCCAAACTAGATTGACGAAACAGCTGTGCAGTACTCCTAGGTGGTTTTCCAATGGTTCTCTAACTAATGTCAGCTCACGATGAAATCCTGTAACACCATTTATTGTTGACTATAAAACTATCTACATACGCTGAATTTCAAATTACAGTGACTAAGCACCACGTACTACAAAAGCACCAGTTCACTCTGGCTAGAACTAGGCTATAATCTGCTTAATTAACCGCGTGACAGTATGATCCAGTTAAACCACAACCTTGTAGGTTTGGATACCCACTTTGTGCATTTAAATTTTTAGCTGGTGAACAAAACTGATAAATATAGCCATTCAGCTGATTTTGAAGCAGTTTCCGTGTTGTCTAGCGGTTAGGATTCCTGGCTTTCATCCAAGCTGCTCGGGTTCGACTCCCGGCACTGGAGCGCTTTGGAGGTCGGTGGTTAGGACTCTCGCCGACCATGCACAGAATCCGGAGTTCGATCCCCTGCCGACGCATACTTGGTATCTATGGTCGGCCTGCAAAATTTGGGCTACCGATATCACATGCTGAAAATTCCATACATGTACCGAAAATACGGTGTGGAATAAAGCTATAATCAAGAAAATAAATTGCAGTTGTTCAGCACTTAATTGAAGTCCCTCGCCTAACAGATTGCAAACAACTGTCACACAGAATGATCGTGGTTATTGTATCACTATCAACACTACCTAGGACAAAAACAGATACCAAATGGTATACAAATAAACGCAGACGGGACTATCTGTTCAAGCCGACACATAATGAAATTAATGAAAATATCCTGTGATGGTCTGTATATTATATCAAAGAAGACATCTGGATCCTTTATGCTTCTAGTTTATCCCACCTGAGTGGTTTTCAACGATGTTAAAACGTCGTATGTAGTTACGTCACACAGCGAATATAGTTCACATTACCTGTGTTATACATTTAGCAACAACAACCAAAGTTTCATAAACGTCTACTCAGTAACAAACAGCCGTACAAATGAACCTGATTTTCGCTCAATAACAAGCAGAGAAATGAAAGGAATCAAAGATAAAGATTTACATTTCGATCCCAGGTGGAGTTATTGGTGCGTATTTCTGAAGCGTCTCAAACTAGGGCTGTTCAGAACTCCCTGAATTTCAGTGGTTCTTGAACTGATGTTAGTTTGTAATCTAGCCTAAAATCAATCAAATCCTGAAACTGAAACATAAAAGGACAGACATACTGCTGTAAAATAACAGTCGTATTTTTTTTCTTCCCTTCATGTTCCCAGTGGAACATAGGGTCTCAAGCTAGTGGCTTGAAGTTTCTGTAGCAGTGTTTATTTTTACAGGATGGGGTTTCTAGCCTCATGCCCGACCTTTCCTCTTCACCAGCATTATTTCTGGGTTAGCGAGATAAGCGAGTGCGCCGGTCGGGAATCGAACCCCGGACGATGTGCATGGTAGGCGAGCGTCTTAACCGCTGTGCCACTGACGTCCTAACAGTCGTATAATGGCATCACTTTTATCGAGTGTGTGTCTACATTTCATAATAACTAAAATTTGGTGAAAACTGTTCATTCTTTAGTGAAACAGACAAGTAGATATTATGTGACAGATACTATACTGCCTGATGCGCTCAAAGTGAAACGACTGCTCACCTCATCAGAATATAAATTGGGTCAAATTTATTAAAATCAATGGAATGATTTCATGGTCACTTGCTAATAAACTAGAAAGATGCCTCATTCATGCTTTCAGACGATGAGTCATTCGTACATTATCATTCGTACATATATATGCATACATATCCTAATTATAGATACTTTACATATAATGGAAACAAACTTATTTTAGAGACAAAAACAACTAAACCGTAGAAAAAAAAGCGCACATATATATTAACCAATGTTATAGAAAAGGTCATCTTTGTTTTTATGAGACACGGAACAAATTTTGATTGGGACAAAAAGCCCATCTACATACACATAACAGAAAATACTAAGTAAAACATACTTATGAGATAAACTGTTCGGAAAAGGAAAGCTATATACAGTAGTCTTTCTCTATCGCTTTGTAATCTACGGTGAGTTCTGTTTTAAAGACAAATTTTTATCGATGCACCTGTAACTGGACCCTCACATAGCATATTCACTTGTATTTCTATTTTAGAGTGAATACTACAAACCAATATGCCTTTGAGTACACTGATCTTGGTCATCTCCACGGTATTCCTTCTGGTCTTATCCAGTGCTACATACCCACCATCAGATGAAAACTTAAAGTTCAACAAATCACAAGCAAATAATTCTGATTTTAATGAAATAATTGCCATTAAAACAATAACCAGTGTGCCATTATTGCATTTAGTAGACTATCTATGGAACCAGTCAGAAACAAAAGAAATGAAGGTTAAAACATTTTCGATACCATCCGATTCTCTGTATACTCATATCTACTATGCTTGGAAAGAAGCTGATCAGCACATGTCCTCTGTAAGTAAAAATAATAAATTGTTTAGGTAGACTTGAATTACACTGATTAATTTTTTGTGATTTATTTTTTTTAATACTACATATCAGGCGACAGTAATGCTTGTCCAAAAACTGGAGCGAATGTTCCTTTATTCACAAAACTGAAACAGACCAGTAAAGCGAGTGAAAAACATTGAGGATAAATTTAGAGTACAGAATATTGCACAACTAATTCCAAATAGTGATGACGGTTACCCCATATCTGATCAAACTATTTTACTTATCACTGTAATGCTCTATATATATACTCTTTCTCCATATATATATATATATACATATGTTCTGATAAATTTGCCTCCTCATAGCTGAAGTGATATTCAGATGCCTATGGCAATTAAGAAAAAATTCCCCATCAGTAATGAAAAGAATAATTATTAGACCAAACAAGTTAGCAATCTATGATTATTTCAAGCAAAACAAAACTGAAAAATTCTCAGGAGTTGGTTTACTTGTTTTTGATGTCTGAGAAGTCGTGATCACTGAGGTCCATCCTGTCGAAAGTGAGAAAAAATAATCGCCCGTAACGTTGGCAGGTGGTCGTCCTAAACTCATGAATTGGTAGAAGTCAGATTTCATGAATCATAGAGTCGGGTGCTAGTGGCTGAATAGTCTACGAACTAGAGTTGTAACTAGAAGGTTCTGGGTTCGAACATCAATGGGTAAAGACCACCGATGAGTTTCAAACTAAGACGAAACAGCTGGCTGTTCAGTACTCACTGTTGGTTTCCAGTGACTCTCTAACTGACATCAATCCGTGATCGAACTTGAAAATCTGGAGAAAAGTGACAAAGCTAGCAGAGAAGAACAGATACCTAGCGTGGATTAAGAGGTGTCCATCTACGCTAAACAAAATCTTTTCATTTGTGTATTCATACGATGATGTGTACTAATGAACCTAAAATCCTTAGTCTCATACTTAGGTGCAGCAGACCAGTGCATTTTTATTAGCATAGGCACTGGCACGGTACCAGATTCTTAACTATTTCTAAGATAAATACTGAAGCCATTAAAATTAAGTGATAAGTAAGTTACTACTGTAGTACTAAAAAGCGTTTCTTTCAGTTCTTGAAATCTACCTATCAGCTGAAGGAAAAAATATGAGACGACTTGATAGAACTAGTAATTTCTCAACTTTAACAATTAAAGATGTATTTTTAAAGACTATGCCTTCTAATAAATATGTCTTCAGCACTTCTCATCATTTATTTTGATACATATATATATATATATATATATGTACATAATGAATAAAATATACTGACAGCTTAATATTTTCTTTGTGAATGTAGTATGCTTTTCCAAAAGCTGTGGTGAAATTTCACCTGAAACTGTATATATTGCATACCACTAAAGCATTTGTGAATTGCAGATGTGATCCAATAAGTATTTTCAGATCACTAAAGTAGTAAGTCAGAGTTCGATTGGTTTGAATTTATTCGGCTCTTTGAGATGAGTAGAACTGGAAACATCGCCGATGATCTCTACCTGAAACGTGCAAAACCAATCTTCGATGCTTAATTTATTTCACCCTGGCTAACAATCACTACTAGTTGAATTAAGTAGTATCTATTCACTAATATTAGTCATACAGTGGTGTGCGAATAATAAATTTTTTAGGCTTCACCAAATATGGCGGTCAAATTATTGACATATTTTCTATTTATAAATACAATATGTGGTCATTAATATATATAGCGTACCAAATGACTTTTCTAACTAATACCTGGTAAATGTCATCGTCTCACGTTTCAGTCAACATATCTTAAAAGATTCAAATAAGTAAGCCTGTAAGAAATCCTTTACATCTGCCTGAATAAGGAATACTGAACTTTTGCATGGTGTTATCAGCGTATAAATGACCTGAGTGTATTAGTTCACTTCTAATGCTAGTAAAGTGTGAAACTATCCATAAGTTAACGATGGTATTTTATCTTCAATATCCACTTGACCAACCACTCTTGCAAACAAATACAAATATTCTCCAAACTGTGAACTGCCAGATAGTTGCAAATGAGCAAAAAGAATAAACTGTGATAATTACTGTCATAACGAATAAAAGTGACAGTATTTAGATGGAGAATACGAGCAAAGTGATTTTTATCAATTAGCTTCCTTTTCAAAAATATTTAATGATATCTGAACATCTAAACTGTAGTATCGCAATCTCGTTTATATTTGTGCACTCAGACGTAAATCAATAGAGTTCTTTCATAAATTTCAGAAAAAACATTTTGTACGTACATTTCGAAGACTTATTGACTTCGAATCTCTGACTTCATCATTACAGCAGTGTCTTCTTTCAGTTAATCAATACTTAGTAAGATGAATAACTCACACTACTTTGGTGTGTATTGGCAATTCATAATGCGATCAGCTGATAATATCAAACAGCATTAGCGCGACTTATTCAAACTACCTTCACTCACTAGTTTGGTATCACAAAAATAATAATAACACTCTTTCAATTAAGGTTGTTTTACAACTAGGAGAGGTAAGCGATTGAGATGTAGATAAATTTTGCTTTGTGTATCAAATATCCCGCTGTACTGACGTATTTTAAAGTGACATTCAATTAGTAATTAAAATTAAATTTCAGAAAATATTTGTACAGAACAAGATTTCTCTGTGAACCTCAATAATGGATGAATCACTACACAGGACTACATTTGAATCAATGCATGCCATAAGAAAATTAGTTTTCATTTGAAAAAGTACTTAGTACAACTTATCCATCAGTAAACATGATGATCCTGAGTGTGTTTGCATAAACGGTTTACAATGTGAGTTGTTTGTTGTGCATTCAAATGCTATTCAGTGACTTAGCACCCTCTAGTTGTCAAATATTCTCTAACTGACATTGGTTAGTGAAGACATTTATCACTACCATTCTCCTGGGTTTCGGATGGAAAACAAGGCTTCAGCAGGACATCTGCATTTTGTCCTGTTGTCTGCAGTTTTCTTCAGTTAGCTCACAACTGTGCATACGCTTTCACCTCCTTTCTGCGCGACCTCCTCCACGTCATCCTTGGACACATGTCAATCTCTTCATCCCCCCCTTCCCCAAAGGTTTTGGGCGTGGTATTACCAGACGGTCTCCTAAGCGTGTCCCCAATCCGTCTCCATTTTCTTTTACATATTTCTTGAGTAACAGGTTTTCAGTAGATTTTTTCCAACAGTTTCTCTTTTGCTGATTCTTTCTGGCCATTTGATCTTCAGTATGGAGCCAGAGAATGCGGATGTTGATCAAAGTCTCCAGCAATCTGTTGGAAATGTTTTTCGTGATGCGTGAGGTAAGTTTCTTGCCCGAATAAAAAAATCCAGATTTCGTTCTTCATGCTCAGTGCAGCAGATTTCCAAACCTATTTCAGAGGGATGAAGATCTGTCTTGCCTTTTTGATTCTGGTTTTGAAATACTGGATCAAAATTAACAGATCACTTACTAACCCTTCAGATGGTGGATATTTTAGTTATTCAAAACAGTCATCAGGTTTTAATACCCTTTTTTAAGTGCAAAATAAGTTATCTTAAACTACTGACCAGGTTTCCAGAATAGGTACTGTGGTAAGCAGGGTGACTCTGTTATTTTCTGTAAAAAACATGGACGTTTACTCTCTGATTCAAGAAAGAGAATACTTCAAAACATTGAGTGGCATAATATTCTTTTCAATCGACAAAACATGAAGCCTGCTATTAAATGTATGTTTCCCTCTATTTATTAAATAACATTATTTACTACTGATTATGAAAAACACACTTTATTCGGAACGTTGTCTGGTGATACATCCCATAAACAAGTTCGTCTGCAGGCAATCGATAGGTAAGAGGAATGATCACGGGGTGACATCATTTAGAGAACCTTCGGGAAACCTGGAAATACTTAACAACCATTTCGTCCCGGTTTGGTACTCTTCAGAATACGAACCCACCGGGTTTCGAATTCTGAAGCTTCTCGTTACGTAGCGATTAATTAAATATTACTATAGTGTCCAAGTTTTCAGCGAAAATTAAAGTCGTCCGTATTTTTCTTTCTGTATTCGCAGGTTGCTTTAAAAAATGATGAAATAGTCGGCGCAAATCTAGTCGTTCCTATCGAGATTCTGAAAGAAATGTACGCTCCTGAAAAAATTGCAGCCATATTAGATTTCGCAATTCACTGTTATGCATGGGCTAAACCAGATAATATTCAAAAATATTCTAATCCAAATGCATATGTGTCAATACTAAGGGGAGCATCCAATACAAAAGTGAATCAACAACTTATCAGAGAAACCACGAAATACTTCCTTATCTCGGCTCAGTATGATGCATATCATTTTGTTTGGGAGAATTCTTCATTGGAAGTATGTTATCACTGATATTAAAAAAACATGATTTTATTAATAATAATAATTTTCAGTTGGTAACGTCTGACTTAACAAAAATAAACAAAATGCAAAATAAATGAAAAAAGTTATTTTAGGTGAATAGATTTTTATAAAAGTGTGAACAAATATTTTAGAAAAAAGCCTACTACCTGTGAAACCGTACTATATATTTTCGGTAGGAACAATTAAACGAAGATAATTAAAATAATTTTATAGACCACATATTTTTTAGCATCAGTTCCATCATCTACACATCACACAGTTCAAGGTGAGGTTCATCACTCTTTCAGTTTAGAAACTAATAATGTTCAGGACGCAAAATACGATGGTCTCAAAGGGCCAAATCAGTTGTTCGCCTGGTACGTTGTTGAACAACGCAGCTGTGAAAGAATAAGACAGCCGTCTGGTATTTGGATTTCTTCATTCATCACCACTGACTGAAATAACTCAATTCCAACTACTCGTATCAATCCGTAGTATACGCTTTATGGTACAGTAACTTTACTCAACCAACCATTACATTTAACTGAATTTGAGATTTTCCCGTCGATTGATTGGAATGAAGTGCTCGGTCTCAGCTTAACATGTCGGCTTCTTGTGCAGATGTTTCGACGATGTCTTGGCATTTAATTAGAATTTAATTTGTGGATGATGACTGACCGCGCATTTCGTCCTATTTGGGACCCATCATCTGTATGTACCTGTATTTCCCAGTGAGTGATGATGTACACACCGAAGCTAGAACCCAGTGCCCATAGATTCAAACGCCAAAGCGTTATCCACTAGACCACTTGTGAAATCCAGGTACATTCAGCTGATGTGCCCCAAATAGGAAGAAATTCGTAGCCTGGATTCCACTTGTAGTCACCATCCACAAAATTAAACATTCATTACATTGAAAACACGGCGATAAACTAACCGTTCCAGGAACTAAAAAATGTTGAACTTCTTTTCAGATTCGTGTAAAATTCCGAGTTCTATTTAGTAAAAATCATTTCAGCGAAGTCGTAAATCAGATTTACCTGATTCCCATGAAGTAATCAGTCTTTCGCTTTGGAAAAGTATCCGGAAGCTTTTTGGAAAACAACACATAGAAATGAAAAACGAAGATGAGGCTGAAATCCCCAAGTAAAACATTTTTAGGAAGCAAGAAATTTAAGCGAAAGTACAAGTACATGCCTCTATCAACCAGTATGATAACTATTTTTATTTCGCCACTGCAAAATTACCAAGCATATTCAGTTTTATTAATTACAACTGACAGATTAACTTTGCTGACATTTTCACATTAGTATTAGCTGGTAACTTCTCACTAGTGACAGTCATTAGTAATTATCTCTGAATGACTATTCCCTACATGGCTCTTTAAGTGTCTACCTTCACAGAATGAAATTATCCAAACTTCAAAACAGAGAGAGAGCTAAGTTTGAAAAAAACACCAATTTTTTAGCGATTCTACTTCAATATGTAAATATCAGCGTAATTTATACCTGTGTGCTATTGTTATCCTGATTTCTAATAAACTGTTACTCAGTAATTCATGTCTGGTGTGATCAGGAGTATGAGATTGTTGCAGAACTCCACGTATGCCAACTCATTGATTTTCTGAGTTGATTTCCTATAAAATACTCATATTTCAAACAACAAACTAACCACCAGTTTTAACTGATTAATACAATAGGCCACACCAATCAAACTTTTGTATATATTATAATCATTATCACAGAAAGTCAGTCTGTGAAATAATCCTCATTTAAATTACACGCATCAAAAAAGCTGAAAAGCTACACTAGTACAAGTCCCAACATTGATACAATCGGCAACCTCAGAAATATACGGATTGTATTCTAAAAATGCCTATAATACACAAATTTACAAGCAGTTAATATATTCTGATATATGAGAAGATCTGAATAAGATCTTAAATGTCTCAAATTAGAGTTATTTACAGAACAAGGTGACGAGAAGAAACTTCGAATACGGAGAAAAACAAGAAGTTGTTTTGTACTAGGATTCCTTATAAAAGACCTAGTTATTATTATTATTGTTCCCTTGGGTTCCTTGTGGAACATACGGCTTCAACTGCACGCCTCCACTTCCCTCTGTCTTCTGCTGTGCTTTTCACCTGCATCTATCTTAGTCCATACTGCTTCAACTCCTCTTCACACGATCTCCTAAATGTCAGCCACCATTGGGCACGTCCCACTCACCAAATCCCTTTCGGCCTGGTTTCACTCGAACAGTGGCCTGAGGTGCGCGCGATGTCACCCAGCGGCCTCCTCAGAGAGTGAATGTCCGATCCATCTCCACTTTCTCATGCATATTTGTTGGTTGGCGATTGGTTCTTGTTTTGTTTGTTTCTTCCCAGACATAGTTTCTTGTTGGTGATTCTTTCCGGCCCGGCCATCTCATCTTCAGTATAGAGCTAGCGAAGACAATTGTTGATAAACGTAACATCTGCAACAGGCTGTTGGAAATATTCTTTGTGACCCGCCCGCCCGCCAAGTTTCTGATCCGTATAGAAGAACTGACTGACTTGACGTTGTTTGTATTGAAAATCCTACCGAATTTTGTTGTTGATGCTGGCTGAGTGACGAAGATTTCCAGATTGGTTGTTTCAGGTTGATGAATGTGTTTCTCGCCTGCCTTCCCGATTCTCGCTCGATTTGACAACCTCGTCCGTTCCGACTTTCTGTAGTTGATACAATGCTCAACGCTAGATAAGTGAATGAAGTAACCTCTTTCAAATCCCTCCCATTGATGGTGATTGACGCTGGATGTTGCTGCTGACGTTGTTTTTGTTGGTTGGTTGGCTACTTTCATAACCTCCGTCTTGTCTATGTTCACCTGGAGTCCTGTCTTCGCCGGCTACTTCTTCGACCAGTTTGTCGGTTTTCGTTTGTAAGTCTTCGATTGTGTGTGACATCAAACAGAAATCGACCACACGCGAAGTCCAGGTCTTCTAGGCTCTTCACGTCGGTCCAGAATATCCCTGTCCTCTCGTTTCCCACTGTCTGACGCATAATCCAGTCAGTTCAACACAATTAGGGATATCATTGGTGATTGATAATAAGCACCCTTGTCTGACTCCTGTGTTTACTCCAAACGCCTCACTGAGTTTTCCGTTTTGGATCACTTGACATGTGTCGTTGTCATACAGCTGTTGAATAATGTTGATGAATATTTGGGGTACGCCATAGTACTCGAGTAATTTCCAAATTACTTCACTATCAGCGCTGTCTGTCGAAGGCCTTCTCAAAGTCTATAAACTTGAGGTAAGGAAAGTAAATGTGTTTTCCATAAACTTGACTGTTTTAGTTATTCATTATTTTTGTATAGTGAAGAATTTGAGTCGAATTCACCGTTAGAATGTCATTTTTCTAAGATTTATTTTACCGGAATTATTATGTTGAATACTAGAATATTATTTTTAATTTCCTATTTCAGCAAACAAACTTTATGTCATCATTAAACTACACTCAAATTGTATGTGGTGACAGCAAACTTGAGACGAATCCATGTGACTGGAAAACACTTGGTATGGATAAGCTATTCGCTGAACAGCAATGCCTTTATCGAATCATAAATAATGAAAGGACAAACAATCTTCATTAATATTGACGACATTAAGAATGTCTTCAACAATACGCATCATTATTATAATATTATCCTATTCATTCATTGATATATATATATATGTCAACAAACGCTTAGTGCTTTTACACTTTTTCATTGCAATATTTCTATTCTAGGCTATTCTCTTATGTTTATATTAGGATGAAATTTGTTTTAAATAAATCTGAATGAGTAACTGAAGTGTGAAGTTTTGCATTTTTTTTAACAGGATTAACTGTAATCCCTACGAAAACGAACTATATTCATTTGTAGGTGCGTACTGTCAGTTAAATAGAAATTTATTTATTTATTTTTTTGACTACAACTTGATTCCAAACCTTATTTTTCGATACAGGTATGGAATTTTCAGCATGTGATATCGGTAGCCCAAATTTTGCAGGCCGACCATAGATATCAGGTGTGCGTCGGCAGGGGGTCGAACCCCAGACCATCTGCATGATCGGCGAGAGTCATAACCGCTTTGAAACCGATGCACGTTAAAGAACGCGTAAAATTCAATAATGATGGATTAATTCATGATAACGATAATATACAAAGTATCTTATCAAAGACATTTGGCACAGACTGTCATTAGTGCGTAGGAAAAACTAAATTATTTTCTTGGGTTCCAAGAGGAGCGTCTATGCATATGTAATACATCAGTATTTCACTCTGGAAAAGTACTTTTGAAAATATAAAAAGGTGATTGGATGGAGGATTTTATCATGAGCTGGTATCAGTTAGAAAACCACTGGAAAACCTAAGGAGCACTAGACAGCTGTTTCGTCTTGGTTTGGAGCTCCTCAGTGGCACGCACCTAGGACCTTCTGATTACAAGGCGAACAACGAGTTCGAACTCTGGTGGGCGCGTGCTGATGAAGTATCCCAAACTAGGATGAGAGAGCTGTCCAGTACTCCCAGGTTTTCCAGTGGTTCTTTGACTGATGTTAGCTCATGATGAAATCCTTTATCCAATCAAACAAAATCCCCACAAAACCAATACTTGAAAGCTGATTGTCTAAGAAATTGTTAGTGTAGAGATAATCTTAGTTACAATTTTTACAATGCTTACAAAGAAGTGCTGGGAGTTTAACACCTTGAATGCAAATACATAAAGTCAGTAATTTCTGTCCATTTGCTTTAACCGGCGTTAATATTCAAGACTTATCGCGAAACATACACGAATTAGAATTTGAATAAATCAAGAAAAAGAGTGGTTTGTGCAGAATAATATGGTACCATCATTCACTTCGTTGGCTTCTCATCAGCTACTTTCAGCCTAAATAAATTATGAGGTTTGTGCACAGAAACGTTTTAACATACATGCAAATTTTACCTGTTGTCAGTTGACAGAAAGTTCACAATTAGTAAACAGTGCTCAGAAAATTGCGCTAATATAGTTTTTACACGGGCGGTTCAAGTTTAAACAAAATAAATGTATGCATATAATGGTAAGGGAATTACATAATAAAGATGAGATGCATAGTGATTAATAAGTTAGGTAACGATGTACTGAGTTGAACTCAAATCATAGAAACAAGAGACAAGCAAGATTAAAGATTATAAAAGGAGGGTGAGGTTGAAGACAAAGAGTGCGTAATCAGAAGAGAGAAAAAAAGACATCCAGTTATCAAAGCAAGGAAAGACTAATAATTGCCTCTTTCTGAACACATAAATCTGGTTTCAAGCGTTTGACAGAAATTGCTTCGGTTAACTTGAGGAAAACGGAGCTCCTTTGTCTATTGATAATTTTAGACGTTTTCTCTATTTCCACCTCATGACTCGTGTCAAGGAGATGTCTGATAATAGCGCTACTATAAGAGTTTGTTCCCTTGAGACGTAGGCTTTTCGGTACATGTTCAGAAAATCGGAGGTATGCCCTTCTTTCTGTTCTCCCAATGTAACTGCTCTCGCTGATACAAGTAAATTTGTATACACAGTTGGAGTTAACATGAGAAGGGTATCTATCGACTTTCGACTGCACCAAAGAGCATGTTGTTCGATGGATGGTAACCAATTGGTGGCCAAGAGTTATTGACAGATAAAATGTCCCAGATTTCTGTATAAAGAAAAAATATTGCAAGATTGTATAATTCAGACGATATTTAAAAGTACTAATTCTTGAAATACTGCAAGAGAGAATTTGTATAATGTCATTTTAAATGTGACAAGTGAGATAGATACTGTATAGCCTTCGAAAATCGCACTAGTATGTCATTATTTTTGAAGAATTGGCAAATTATATTTTTTTTTAGTGTGACAGACTGATAAACAGAAAAGTCAGTGTGTTACATTTTTAATACTTTAAGGAAGTTTCAAAGCATCTGGTCATCCTTACCACTATATTATTATATTATTATTATTATTATTATACCTACTATTGGCATTCATGAAATCCCTTATTTAGTCTGAAAATCAGGACAAATAAAATAACATCGCCTTATCATGAATCAGTTAAGATTTTTTGACTGACTAATATATTGTCCAGAAATAGGCACACATAAAGTTAACATAGCTATTAGAAAAATAAGATGATTGGCGTTTTACTAGTACACTAATCAATCTAATCCACTTTAGGATGACTCATGTAAGAAAATATAATTTTGTTGAAAAAAGAAAAGGACAGTATATAGTCGGTCGGTGTATGTCATGAAATAATTTATGTATTCCAAATAGAAAGAAATTTCAATCATCGTAGTTCAATTCAGTTTTATAAACAACAACTAGTTGTTTAATCATGTGTTTGGTTTGTAGGGATTCGGTTGATTGGTTACAGAATTTCATCATGAGCTGACATTAGTTAGAGAACCATTGGAAAACTACCTAGGAGTACTGGACAGCTGTTTCGTCAATCTAGTTTGGGACTCTTCAGCAGTACACACCCACCGCTAGGGTTAGAACCCATGACCTTCTGGTTACAAGGCGAACTCCTATACCGTTGAGCCACTGGGACCCGATCCAGTGGCCACTGCGAGAATTCTAACTTCTGCCAATTCTATCAGCTCATAATGAAATCCTGCAACTAGTTGTTTTTTTAATAATAATAATCTACTTTATTCCATAAACAGTACTAATATTACAGAATAGGTATTTCAGCATTTGTCACAATATCCCATCTGATTTACTCAAAATATAAGTAAAATAATAGATTAAAACAAAATTAACCAGAGGAATTTGTCCACATTTTCGATATAAGGTCAAAAATATTGGAAGCACCAACTGAGAATATTAAATATAATAATATTAATAATATCAGTCTGTTTCAGTTTGAAAATTTTAGCATGTTATAGAATATTGAATCTAATGTTCTGTTGATATAGTGTAGTGAGGGGAAATACAAAATTAACATTTATAACACAGCTTAAATGATGTTCACATTCATGAAAAAATAAACAAATGAAAACAGAAAATTGGGAGGTTTATAAATGTAACCGAAACAATAACAATAAAGGTTGATGTTATGAGAATGGAGAAAATGGTTTATTTAATAGTACAATGATGATTAGTTAGTTCATGCCTGACACTACTTTCATCGCATAAAGTACGTGCCAAATATTGTATAGTGAAACTTTTATACTTAGCCGTATGTGCATAAAGTCTTCTGAAAAGACTTCTTGCTTTATGTGAGGACACATAAGGTTGGAGCTGCGGGTAGAATGGGTGCTCACAGTTTGATTAAAATCCTTTAGCAAATTTGTTGCACGAAATCAAGTGCCTATAAATGACAATGTCAATGATATGACCCAAAGGGATACCACTCGCCATGCTGACAGCATTCAGATTTCTACGAAGTATGACATAGTCTTTTTTTAAGCAATCCAGGAAAAAATAAGGGTGAACAGTAGGAAAGAATAGGTAAGATGCACTAGCTAACAAACTGTAAGAGGAGGAAGGGGTTGAATTATGCCTGAGTGCTTCAACTTTCTTATGTAAAAAGTCAGACGAAATATTCTTTTAGAAATCGCTAAGACATGGGAAGACCAAGATAGGTCAGAAGAAAGAATTAATTCAAGATACTTAACTTCAGACTTGATTTCTATATCTGTATCATCAATTTTGCAAGGGTCATAGGAAACAACAGCTTCATTTAACTTTCGTTTACATCGAAAACTGAAATTGACTGTCTGACATTAAGAAGGATTCAGTTTAAGGCCGTTACACGAAGACCATTTGCTAACTCCTGATAGGTAGTTTTATGTAGCTCAAAGTTGCCCACAGACTGATTTCAGTTAGAGAACCATTGAAAACTAACGAGTACTAGACAGCTGTTTCTCCTTATTTTCACAGACTATTCAGCAGTACCTACCAGCCGTATTCAATCGAGTGTAGGAGCTTCCGGTTACAACGCAAACTCGTAGACCATTCAGACACTGTCACTCGACTCAGTATCGAATGAATTCTTGCTTCTACCAACTGTAAAAACAAATCAACTCTTCACAGACAAACTCTTAAAACTTAATCTAATACCCTCTGGTAACTGCCTACAGGAAACAGTTGCCTGGAATTCTAGTGAAAAGTCGTAACCATTGAGGTCAACCGTGTTGGGAGTAAAGACGGCCGTACTCAGCCATGACATTGGCTGGTGGTCGTGCTAAAATCATGAATTGGTAAAAGTTAAAATTTGTGGATCACTGAGCTGGACTACAGTGGCTGAATAGTCTACAAGACTGAATTGTAGACGAAAGACCACGGGCTCGAATCTCGGTGATGCAGTGGGTGGGTATGTTGTTGTTGAAAGGTCCGAAACTAGGACGAAATAAATGTTCAGTACTACTGAGTTTTCAGTGAACCCATGATCAAATCTCAAGCAAATCAAACCCCTACAGAATAACTCTTGAAATGTAGTTTTCTTTAGACAGCAGTGTTACACTTTTACTGCTACTCTGTCATGTTTTTCAAAGTATATTAGTCATTTGTTTTATCATTGATAGATAAACTGAATCGATTGTCAAGACATTTATATTGTACCTGATATAAGACATTAGGTTTCTGTGGAGTGGATTAGTAATCTTACACTGCTAAGATGATCAGCGGTAATTTCTTCGCAGAAATTCACCAAATGATACCAAATTCCTATGGAAACGAAAAATATTTCCTCATAAATTTCATTAGAACCCGATGAAAAGGAAAAAAAGTCAAAAGTTCGTATGCCAAATCAGAAGTCATGATTACTAGGGTTCACCTAGTTGGGTGTGAGTTTGAATACTTACCAATGACAGGGCTGGCGAGAGAGCTGTGTTACTGAGAATTGACAG